CCGCGGCGGGCCCAGCCTGCGTGTTCAGCCAAGAGCGGCGTCTCCCGAAGCAGCCCCCGCTCTCCAACAACACGCGAGAGCAACCGGAGGGTCTTTGACTGCCGGGCCGCTTCTGCCCGTCACTGTCACTCGCCCCTCCTATATGTTTGCAGGGACATAAATTACTGTGTTGGCCCTTTAGAGCACTGGTTTGTGCAGGGGGGTGCTGGGGACGTGTCCAGGGCTGTTGTGACCGTGTTGCTGTGACATGTTGCAGGTTTGCTCGACTGTGAGGCGCTTGCCTAGAGCCGCGATGCCGCCCGCAAGGTGAGAACAGAGGCACTTGCCGGAGCAGAGGCGCTTTCCCCTCCAGATCCCTTTCCCATCAGATCTGAATACCGATCTCGTGGTCGAAAAAGGAGGAAGAGCAAAACGCAGCCTGGCCTGGGCCTCTCTGCTCATGCGGCCGTGCTCTGAGGAGGGTCAGGTTGCAGACACGGTGCGTTAGGTCTGAGCGTGCGGCTTTGAGGAGGCTGGAGCGGGAGGGAAAGCCTGCTAGTTGGGAAGCAGCCGAGTGCGTTTGAGAACTGTGTGGCTTGGCAATGGAAGTGTGCAGGTGGAGACTGAAAAAAATAATGAGAAATGTGCATGTACCCAAGGGAAAAATAACAATATTGGTCAGTGTGTAAGTCCGGGGGCTCACCAAGATCCTAGCGAGTGGGTTTTATTCAGAGACCAGGAGCAAGAAGGCAAAGCAGGTTTAACACATAGATTAGCTGGGAGGGAGGAACGAAGGGTTGGGATTGGAACTGCTGCATGCCCACAGCTTTTAAGAAAGGGGGAATGGGGAGGAAACAAGGATGGTGTGTGGCTTGGCGATTTTGCTAAAACGAGATGAATTGTACAAAACGAAAACCATCCTCTTGTGAGTTTTGTTACATCAATTGCTCCTTCAGGTCACCTGGAGTGACTGTGTGTGATTTCTCTTTCAGGAGCCACTTGCTTAGTGGAGAAGGCTGAGAGCTCAAGACATTGATCCCCTGCTTCTGTGGAGAGAATCAAGTTGATGCTCCAAAAGGCCTGGATTGCACGTGGGAAAACTGCAGCTCAACCTGTGAGTGCCCCTGGAAAGAGCCCTGAGGTTGGTTCCTTGTCTTGGTGGGTGGCATCTTGGCTGTCCCTGAGCACAAGGAGCGGTGTCAGGAGCTCCTGTTTAGCGCTTTTCTAAGCAGCCACTGGCTGATCCTTAGCTGGAATTTGCAGTGGGACAGGGCTCTCCGGGTGGGAATGATGAAGGTCCCTAGTAGGGTTTGTAGCTGGGCTGCCTGGTATCCCCTGGTTGGTGGGAGGAGTCACAGCACAGCCAGCCTGGTCAGTGATGACACCTCTTTCCTTGGAGACTGCTGGATGAATCCTGCGGATATGGGGCTGAGGCCAGGCAGCAGAAATCTGAAATCAGGGAGAATCCCTGGGAGTGGGAATGCCAGGGAATTACCCCTTAGTGTGGGTGAAAATGGGCGCCGTTCAAGTCAAACTGCTCTTCATTCAGACTCTCCTTTTTCCTTTCAGGTCGAACGGGAAGGTGGAGCTGAGATGAGCAGCTCCTGGGTAACCAGCTCCTGGGGGAGGCCGCGGGCAGGCCCTGGTGCTCCGGGGCCCCCGAGCCCTTCTCCTGCGGTTCCGCAGTCGCAGCACAGAAGCAGCGCCCCTGTTGTGGAGCTCGGGGAAGAGGCTGCACTTAAAACGTTTGGAGGATGAATAAAGCGCTTGACACTGGCTGCGCCCCCTCTGTCGTGGTCTTTGTTGGGATGAGCCCTGGCTTTGCCCTCATTAACGGGAGCGGTTGGGCTGGGCTGGAGCTGCCACTTGGGCTGGTTCCCCACAGGGTGGAGCTGGTTGCTCGTGGCTCAAGGCTGCCCCCAGGGACTGACAAACTTGTTACGTGGGTGATGTGCAGAGCAAGGGCTGGTGTGGGGAGGGAGATGGGAGCGGCCTGGCAAAGCGGGCGGGGCGGGGGGAAAAGGAAGCAGGGATGGAAAGGGGGAGGCTGTGAGAGCAGCTGCATCTGTAGGGAGGCTGGGAGCAGCTGTGTCTTCCCCCTTTGCTTCCTGGGAGAGCGGAAGGCTTGGGAATCACTTTCCTGCATGGGCGAGGAGAGGAGGGAGATGTCGCGTCCTGCAGTGCGGGGACATGCAGGGGCCACAGGCGAGGGGACAGCAGTGCTTGCAGAGGGACAGGGTGGCCCTGGGGGCCTGGGGCTTTTCCTCCCTGATGGCATCAGGCTCCATGTGGGGAACATGGAGGACGAAAGAGGCTCCAAGGGGCAGCTCCGTTGCCTGGTCCCAGCAGAGCGTGGCCATGTCCCCTGTGTCTTCACTGTCACCAAGGGCACCTCCTCCAAGGACGTCCCTGTGCAGCAGCACTGCGAGCAGGCTGCTGGCCACGTGCCCTTTGTGCTGGTGGCCACGAGCGCGACGAGGCAACCACCCCGCTGGCTGCAGCCATGGCAGAGACGTCAGCGCTGCCCTGGGAGACATGGCCAGTGCTGGGCTCAGCGGGAGCCCCGCGGGCTGCCGGTGGGGGTGGGATGGGCCGGCG